TCTCTCTCTCTCTCTCTCTCTCTCTCTCTCTCTCTCTCTCTCTCTCTCTCTCTCTCTCTTTTTTTAGTACAAAAAATGTACATATCTTGTGGATGTGGATTCTCTCTCTCTCTCTCTCGTACATATTAGAAGGTGTGTAGCGCATGCTTGTGTTCAACTTCGGTGGTGGAAATGTTTGTGTTCAACTTCGTGAAATGACCTTAGAAGGACTTAAAATGCTTGATAAATAATGACATTTGTTTTTTTTTTAGTTTTTAATTTACAATTTACATATGTTTTGGAGGTAGACTCTCTCTCTCTCTCTCTCTCTCTGGCGCGCATGCGGGCGCGCACGCGTAAATATTGGAGGGTGTTTAACCCATGCTTGTGTTCGACTTTGGTGGTGGAAATGTTTGTGATTAACGTCGTGAAATGATCTTAGAAGGAGGACTTAAAATGCATGATAAATAATGGCATAACGAGCTTTCCTTTATTAATTATCGTTTGTTAGAAATGCGGGAGGTAGTTTTTTTTTTTTTTTTTTTTTTTTTTTTTTTTTTTTTTTTTTTTTTTTCTCTCTCTCTCTCTTTCTCTCTTTCTCTCTCTCTCTCTCTCTGTCTCTCTCTCTCTAGTACAAAAAATGTACATATCTTGTGGATGTGGATTCTTTCTCTCTCTCTCTCTCTTTCTCTCTCTCTCTCTCTCTTACATATTAGAAGGTGTTTAGCGCATGCTTGTGTTCAACTTCGGTGGTGAAAATGTTTGTGTTCAACTTCGTGAAATGACCTTAGAAGGACGTAAAATGTTTGAATAATAATGACATTTGTTTTTTTCTAGTTTTTAATTTACAATTTACATATGTTTTGGAGGTAGACTCTCTCTCTCTCTCTCTCTCTCTCTCTCGCTCATTCGCTCGCGCGCGCGCGAGTAAATATTAGAGGGTATTTAACCCATGCTTGTGTTCAACTTCGGTGGTGGAAATATTTGTGATTAACGTCGTGAAATGATCTTAGAAGGAGGACTTAAAATGCATGATAAATAATGGCATAACGAGCTTTCCTTGATTAATTATCTTTTGTTAGAAATGCGTTTGTGTTCCAAGTGTTTCCCAAACGTTTCGACCTTTAAGATTAAGAATTACCACTATTTGCACAAAGAAAATGAGAATATCGTTTAAGAAGCAGAGATATTGCACATTCTTACTCATGTTGTTGCAGGATGCCTCGAGAACAAGAAGACCGAGAAGAGCGAGGCTCTTTACATTGAATAGAAAAGTATCCCAAGGGTTGCATATGTATGTTGGAAAGATTTCTCGCTCGTGAGGGCATAACCATATCAATGTGTGTGTGGCAGCAATCACTGAGTTTTCTTTTGAGAAGGTTGTGGAAAGTACCACTTACCTCGGCAGATATCAAAATATGGCGAAAATGCGAAATAATGAGTGTAAGGATAGGCCTTCACGAGAGGGCGATGCGTATAGTTCAGTGGCTGAAAAATGTGTTTGACGAGGCAGGATTTCGAGGTGTAGGTAACCCGTGCAACCAAGAATCCTTTCAGCAAGAAATTAGTTTATATATTCCAAAATTAATAGAGACTTGTGTTGAGGCAATCAATGATCCAGGCTTACGTTTAGGTTCCGTTCAATATTCTAGATTCTCCGATTCATGGCATTTTCGTGCAGATGAATAATTGTGAAGGGAATGCGGCAGGACGCTAGATCTTGTAAGGCGTTGAATTTGTTTGTTTTTTTATAAATACAGGTTTGTGAGTTGTTATGTTGGTTAGTCTGTCGAAGAATAAGGGCTTGTGAATTGTATTATGAGTGGAGAATGTAGTAAAAAACGTATATTTAGCATTGCAAATTGAAAAAAAAAGTCGCATATGTTTGTGTTTGAATTTCTTTTATTTCATGCAACAATGGATGAAGGTGTGGATTGTTTTTTTTATTTTCTTGCAATATCTGTTATTTTTACAGGTCAGTAAGATGTCAGATGCAGGATTGCCAAGCAGTTCTGGAGGTGGTGGAAAAAAACTGAAAAAAATTGGCGGTGGAAGAGTAGAAATTAAAGAGCTGGAAGGTGGAGCGGGAAGAGGAGGGGGAAGAAGAGGTGTCGGAGAGACAGGAGGTGGAGTGGGAAGAGGAGTCAGAGAGCCTGCAGGTGGATTGGGAAGAGGAGTCAGAGAGGCAGGAGGTGGAGGGGGAAGAGGAGGAGTGAGAGAGACAGGAGGTGGAGGGGGAAGAGGAGTCAAAGAGACAACTGGTGGAGTGAGAAGAGAGGAAGGAGGTGGAGGGGAAATAGGAGAAGTGAGAGAGGCAGGAGGTGGAGGCGGAAGAGGAAGAGTGAGAGAGACCGGAGGTGGAGGGGGAAGAGGAGTGAGAGAGACCGGAGGTGGAAGGGGAAGAGAAGTCAAAAAGACAACTGGTGGAGTGAGAAGAGAAAGAGTTAGAGAGACAGGAGGTGGAGTGGGACGAGGAAGAGGAGGAAGAGGGGCAAACAATCTCCCCCAAAGAAATAAAATTGAGAGAGAAAAAATGCCACCGACTCGAAGGTGTGAGGAGGAGGAGGAGGAGAAGGAGGAGGAGGAGGAGGTTGATAATGAGAAAGAAGAACGATCGGGGGATTCGTTGACTCCAGCACAGCTCGCAAACCGAGCATATACTACGATGACGAGTCTAAAGAAAGCGGTCAATGAGACGAGTGGCATGGTGAAGGATTTAGAGGGAAAGTGGAAGGAAGAGGTGAAGTGCTAAAAAAAGTTTATGCAGGCGACAAGAGAGAAAGTGGATGGTCTGCAAAAAGAGTGGAACGAGGAGGTGGTGAGATTGAGAAACTTGTACGAACAAAAATGAAGAAGTTATAAGAAAAAATGGATCAAGAAGGATTTGGAGGTGAGGGAGGAGGAGAGAAGAAGAGCACATGAAGAGGGAATGAAGGAAGTGGGGGAGAAGTTGAAAGCTGTAAAAGAGAAAATGAAGGAGTTAAGGAGAAGGAATTGGTGTTTCAGAAGAGGGAAGCGGACGTGAAGGAAAAAGAAGAAAAAATGATGGAGGGTGCAACTGATAAGGGGAAAAATTCAGGTGAGGGGGAAGTGTTTATCACACCATTTTTGTCACAAGGAGAGGCGAAGGAGGAGTTGATGAAGATATTGCCAGAAAAAGTGGAAAGTTTGCAGATGTCAATCACGCAAATGAAGGAAGGGGGAAAAGAGGAGGGAAAAAAAACGCAAAGGAAACGGAAAAGAAGGTGGGAAAATGCAAAGGAAAGAGAAGGGGGAAAGGAAGGAGAAAAAAGAAGAAGAGGAAGAGCAAGGGGAAGGGGAAAGGAGTATGAAAATTGGAAGGGGAGACGAGGAAAGGGTGGGAAAGCGTCAAAAATCCAATCGGGATTTGAAGAGGGAAAAATGGATCAGCAACATGTTTTGCTGGTATTGTGAATCGCATGGGCACCATCCACCTGTACACTGTGCTGGCCTTCGTTATGATGAGGAGAAGGGGTATGTACAACACGAGTTCCAAGATGGTCGTATCGTTTATATCGATTGGAACAACAAAATCATTCCGAAAAAAGAAGGAAAAGGATTTCGAAAAATTCTGTATCAACGGCTCCGCCGCAAAGGCATGCTTTGAGGTAGGTATGATTGAAACTTGGTCACGTGCAAGAAAGTGAGGGACCCAACACAATTTAACGAAATTAGTGTTTGTCGTTAATGTAATGCATGTGGATTGATTGTCTGGATGACTCTCGTGCTTTTTATAGCGAAGATGTCGATTTTTAAATGGGGAGATGATTTTGTTGTGATGTTTATGATTGAATGTCTCATATTTATAATGAGGGTGCAGACAATGGACGAGAACGAGCGAAGCTAGAAAAAACCGTTTACTACCATGCGATATGCGAGGTTGATGAAGACTTTGACAGACGGAGTCGGTCAAATGAACCCCTTAATGTTGTTGTACGTGGTGTTAGAGGACATTAGAAGACATAGTGGATCATCATCAATCATTGAAATATACACATCGAGAATATTGATGTTGGAAGATGCAGGGGAGGACATAGGAATCGAGTGGAGGGAAGAACCAGGAACGGAGGGTACGTTAAATAAATCCTCACTATCACCGCGGGAGGCTATAAAGCGGTTAGAAGCGTATAGCAGCTTCACGTACCCGCGGGCGTGGAACCCGGTCAGAATCCTCGAGCGCAGAGTAGAGGCTGTCGAACACGTATCGGCGTATCACTGTACCAGTCCACTTCAACCTGTTGCCTTGGAGAAAATTGTTAAGGGCATTCCTCAAGAGGACGAAATCGGTGCTTGGAGGATGTGCGCGAGCATTTCGAAAGTAGTTCGGTGAGCGACGGTCGGCGGAGACAAAATATCTTCCTGCTGGTTGCACGCACTTTTCAGCGGGGAGTGTGAAATGATAGATGGGAAGTCGGTCGCACTTGTAGGCAGGAAGATATCGGATGCTTTGGGGGATTTGGTCATCGGGAACGGGGAGGCGGGGCCTCCGAACGACAAGGCGCGTTTGTATTGGCGTCTCTGTTTCCAAATCCCTTTACGACATGACGAGGAGGGTCCGTGGTACAAGGAAGTGAACGCCGTAAGGGCGGATGCAATGAGAAAAGTGATTCAGGGGGCGTTAAATCCTCGCTTGTCCGGAGATCGTAAACCCGTGATTGCCATTCTACGATTGATGGATAAAAAGTTCTACGAGGAGTTGGAACAAATGCAAGTGGCAGACGGGTACTTAGTAGGATATGAGGAACGAGCGGGAGCATGCAATATAGAAGAACGAGTGCGTGCTTTGAACAGGTCCCATGAGAAGGAAATAGGATTGCATGCTACAGTTTGCGTTGGGCTTGTGGGCGGTGTACGCTGCGGGAAGGAATACATCATTCTGTCCGAGCATCGAGACATCGGTCGAGCTCGTAGCGACGGAACAACGCATCGACTTGTTGCAATGAACTTGGAGGAGTTTGCGATTCGCGCATGTGAGATTTGGGAGCCGGTTGTGTGCAGGGAATTCAATTTTGAGGACATGGAGTACATTGTGCCGCCTACTTTTAGCGACGTAGAGGGAGGAATTCCCTTTGACAGGGAAGGAGAGTACGAGAGGAGGAGGAGTGTCGGCGGGGAGAACCCGTCGGAAATTCACAATCGGGGGCAGGTGATGAAGCGAGGGGGATAGCGGGAGATTACGAAAGGAGACGGAGAGAGGATGATGAACCTTTAGACGGGGCGGAACGTAACCACGAACGGGAAGATGAAGAACGGAGAAGCAGACAAGGAAGGAATGAGGGGGAGATAGGAAGAGAGACAAACGAACATGAGAGAGAGACTGGAGCGCGTTGGAGAAGGAGGTGTAGGAGACGAATCCGAAGAGAAGGAGTCGATGGCATGCAAGAAGATGCTCGGTTGGGAGAAGAGGAAGATCCGTGCCCGACACTAAAAGAACATGCCGTAACGTGGAAACCACATATATACAGCATGTTAGGAAGGTCGACGAGCATGGAGATAGTCGCAGCAGTAAGCAAAGGTGTATCCATCAAGGAGATGATAGGCAATGTGAACCGTTACTCGCAAGGGTGGAGGCAAATGGTGACGACCACGAAAATAATGAAAGAAATCAATTGCATAGAGCAAGGAAGGTTTGCATATTATATAGAAAAAAAATTGAACGAAGATAGAAATCTTTCCCCATATGTGTCTTGGAGGGTATGGTTAGAGGACAAAAGTCCGAAAGGTGCAAAAGCGTTTATCGAGAGATTGGACGGGAGCCGCCTCGGAGGGGAAGAAATGGTCGCGATGAAGATGGTTGCTTTGACGAGCATCTGGAAAGCGTTGGTCGTGTTCAAAATATGTAACAAACACCCGTATTTGAGGTTGATTCCCGCAAAGACCGACCCGCGCCCGATTGAGTCGCACGACTTCCACGTTGAAGACGCGAAAGGGATAACCGTCAGCGATAGTCGGGAAATATGCAAGAAAATAGCTTCAGAAGTTGACAAACTGTTAGCAGGCGAGAAAGGCGTGTGAAGTGCGATGCCTGACTATTTAAAGAACATGATAGAGGCGACGTATGCAACCATAAAAGGTCATGGTCTGTGTTCGAACTTCCCATGCTCAGTGTCGGGTGGCGCATGCGGGGACCTTTTAGCAATCACTGATCTGGACGACATTGTAGTGAGGCTGCCGGTGGCCAACATTGAAGACGAACGGTGTACGAATTGTTGCAGAAAGCACCCGAGATTGCCTGATGGAATGCGGGATAAGACTGTTCGCGGCAGGATTGCTCATATTGACGGAATAGAAACGGAGCTGTGCAAAGATGTACACAAACTGCTCATGAGGATTATAAAGGACACCGAAATTATAGGAGCGGAGGGTGTGAAAGTGCATTTGGACACTTATTATGATGATGGGTTTGGAAGGATCGTCGCAGATGTGTATGTGCTGAGGGGGGAAAAATATCCTATAGATATTGCGAATGTGTTGGTGAGAAAGGGTTTGGTCTTCGTGCATCCAACTCTATGTTTGCGCACGGAGTTGCACATAGCGCAAACAACTGTCAGATGCGCCGCTGAAAGTTTCCTAAAGAAAATCAATGAACAAGCCAACGACGAAAACTTTCCATGGGAGAGGGGTGAGAAAGCATTTGACCACGTAGTAAGAACGTGGTTCCGAATGGTGAAAATTTATTCGAGAGAGTCGAGTTTGAAGAAATGCATACAGAAGTTTGAAGAAGAAGAAGGTGCAAGGTATACAAGAGATGTCATTGATTTTGTGAACCTGAACATGTGGAAGGGCATGCAGAGACCGTGGGTGTACAGGAAAAAGAAGGTGCAAGGGTAAGAAAACACCGGGAAGACAACCCGGAAGGCGAGAGAGATGATGAATGATTCATTAATTCACAAAGAGAATCTCGCAACGAAAAACGAAGACGGGTAAAAGGGAACGCTCGAGCAATGCGCATGTCATTTGAAGGTTGTACAGACGAAGAGGAGTAGTCAGAAGAAAAAGATGATGAAGAGGCAGAAGGAGAAGAAGCGGACAACATATAAAGGAGGAGGGAAATGTCGGAGAGGGGAGACATGCACAACTTCTTGGTACGAGAGAAGATGAGAGAGGAGAGAGAATATCGGCGCAAAGAGGTTTGAACATAGGCCTGAACGAGGAGAAGGCGTATGTCACGAAGAAGGCGAGAGAGGGCGAATGAGGAGAGTTGAACGAGAGGAAGCGACATCGGGAAAAACACAGGGGTTGTGAAAGTGCGGAGAAAGGAATTGAAAGTCGAGAAGACGTTGAAGTGGAAAAAAAAAGAGGATAATGAGGAATGTGGTTAGGAAAGAGAGGAAGTGAGCGACAAGGACGCGAAGGAGGGGAATTCGACTGATTTGAAGAAGTGGTGAGGTAAAAGGTAAAGTTCAAAATTTGAACCTATGCATGTGAAATCGTTAAAGTACGTACAACGCGAGGAGGTATTGCAGGGGGTGAGCACAAACCTGTTTAGTTCAAGTTGTGTAGTTGTAAATGAGGGAGGAGGAAAATTATGGGGGCAGATGCGAAGGTATGTAGTTTCGCATCTGTAAGGAGGGGAAGAGGTTTATAATAGAGGTGTGGGGGGAAGGTGGTATGTATAGGGGGAGGGGGAGGGGGAAGAGAATTTTTGGCAAGAGGGATGAGGATGAGGATGACAAATTTTGGAATGTGAATGCAATTGGGAAGAGAATGCCGGCGACCGGCCGGTCGTCCTGTCCCGGTCGAACTGGGACCGGACCGGCTGAGAGGGGGTGAACCGGGAAACCGGATGGGGGTGGGAGGGGGTGAACCGGGAAACTGGATGG